TGTTGTTGTTATTATTATTATTATTACTGTACTTTATTATGACTGAGCCTGTGTGGGGCAGGCTTACCAGCAAGAACCGTAGTAGATACATTATTGCAGCTTCATGGGCTGGGAAGAGAAATGTTTGGAGGTCAGTGAAAGATCACAGAAATAATCAAAAGACTGGGGTGTTTTCTTTTTAAAGTTAAAATAAAAAATAAAAACAGGCTTGCTTTAAAGAAAGTAACAGAGTGATAGTTCTCCAGAAAGGGACATTTTACCATGTATCTCTAGGGAGTTGGCATACAATTTTGTAAGAAATATTCAAAGTATTCCTGCATTATAAAAGTGCAGAGCGATTGTATTTGCTGTAGCCCTGAGTGCTTTCAGGATTTCTGAGACCAAGCTCCTACAAGTCTTCAAAGGGGGAAATCAGCTCCAGGTCTGGGGAAAACTGAACTTTTGACCTTGTCAGTCAACACCCACCTAGAGTCAACTGCTTCTGCCCTACCATTCACTTTTGTCAAAAAACAACCCTGACAATTGGTTTGTGTTTGGGTTAACTGATGAAAAAGGGATTCAGCTTCTGGTGTCACTTTGAGAATGGTAGTGAGCACAAGAGGGTATCCTGTAGAGCATATTGACTGCTGCCATTCAGACTGCCCTTTGCTATGTAAAGCTTGGTATCTGTTTTCCTGTGGACAGTGCAGGCATGATACTGTACAGCAATACTGGGCCATTTCTCTGGTGTTTTGAATTGTGAATACAGAAGCACATTCATAATCCAGAGGTTTTTTAAAGAATTGAATGCTCATGTGAACAACTTGATCTGATTTTGTTGTAGTTTCAACTTATATACTGCTAAAGCACTCTCTGGGTAGTTTACAACATAATTGTGCAAACAACACTTTATCCCACCCCCTGGTGAGTTGAGTACTCATTTTACCGATCTTGGAAGGATGGAAGTCTGAGTCAGACTTCAGCCAGCTTCTTGAACCCATCGGGATTGAACTTAAGTCATGATCAGAAGCTTGACTGCAGTTTGACTACTGTGCCATGGGGCTCTTGGATCTGTTCTGCCTTTCTAGCTTCCGAGTCTCAATAATTTACAATCAGCCAGTTTTGACTGTTGAAGATCTTCTTCCATTTCCTATTGATATTTATCATTCTTTATTTACCTTTGGTCTTTAATCCATCTTTCGCTTTCTGTTCAGCTAATGCAGATGAATTGAAAGGGCTTTTTATATGCATCTCCTTTCTTTATTCTTCCATTTTCTAAGTATTTGTACTCCAAAATAAGACATCGAGACTAGACATCTAAACCTTGCAGGCAAACTGTATTAGCTATTGAATGAGTTTTCATTAGAAAAGGGCAACTGCAAAAGAGTTAACATACTCTGGAAGGATTTCTAAAGTAGGACTAAACTTCTAAATATAATTTAAAATTTGACATTTAGCAAACATTCCAGAAAGACTTATGTGATTTATCTTTGACAGAAGTTTGAAAGACAGCACAGACCACCTCACTTACTCAGTTCTGAAATTCCATATTATCTGCTTTATGAAATATTTTTTTTCTCTGTAGGGACTGAACTGGAGCCAGTTGAAGGAAATCCATACAGATGTATTTGGAAAATAAGTTGTTGGCGACTGGCAGAAAAGGTAAGAAATTTGTCATTGCAATAGATTCTGTTTAAGAAAAGTTCTCTGGCATTTTAATAAATATGGTCACTAACCTTTTAACCATATTGTTTCCATCATTTTAAGTGAATTTGAATGTAAGTGGTATTTCCATAACAAGCTATGTTAGGGCACGGCCACCCTGATATTGAGACAAATGATTACAAGCAACTAATATAACTGCAGAGGACAAGAAATAACAAAAGACTCTTGATCTGTAGTTGCAAGACCATGTGCTTGTGTATGCTATCTATCTAGTCTTGTTCCATACTGTGGAAGTGCTCACAGTAAGATGTGAGTTAGAGGGAACATTAATTCCTGTCTCTCTTGCTGTCGTTTTAGTCTTGGATACACACAACTATTGCCCAATATAGGTACAGTAAAATCCTGATTTTTCTAAATTGTTTTCTGTGGGTCAGGAATGATATCACCACCGAGAAGATCTAAAATGACTTAAGCAGAACATTCATTTTCCAGACTATAGGTGTGTCACTCTAAACCAGTGGTTCTTAACCTTTGTTACTCACATGTTTTTCAACTGCAGTCCCCAGAAACCCCAGCCAGCACAGTTGGTGGTGAAGGCTTCTCGGAGTTGCAGTCCAAAACTCCTGAGTAACCCAAAGTTAAGAACCAGTGCTCTAAACTAATTTTGTTGAATTAGCTAGCAATGTCAGTAACTGGTGCAATTTCATTTATTGGCTGAAAATGCTAATGGGGAGGAGCAGTCTAATTTTTCATAAAACAAGTGGGTGGAACAGTGCCTGCTCATTTTGCCTTGTATCTTGAGTTCTCCAAGGCCCATGGTCTTGATTTTTAAAATGAAAGCTCGGAATCCAAGGATTATGGTTCTTGGAAGGAGGTTCTTGCATGCCAGGATACCCCAAGGATTCCCATAATTTGTTGCATTTTTAGTTGTTTTCTAATGCTTTCAAGAGTCATGCTTTAGAAACAATATGGAGCATGTGTCGTAAATATCTAAATAATCAAGTATAACAAAAAATACAAACTTTTTTGAACTGCATATTTTTAGGAGCAGTTTGACAAGTATGAGAGAGCAATCTATGCAGCACTGTGTGGAAATCTAAAACAGGTATGAAATGTTACATAAAATAACTTCCTGTTTAGCTTGCTTAACACTTTTATCTGGGATTGCTGTATAGTTCTGCTAGGACAAGGAAACCGTATATAAGTAGCAGCTCTGACTATTCTAATTTAAGTCATGTAAAATGATAATGCCCTTGTTGAGGAGGGTCCTACCTCTGCAAGTAGATTTCTTTTTATCGTTCCCTCCCGCTATTCCCTCCTTTTAGTCAGGTCTTGTTGGAGCTAAGCAAGTGCTAACTTGCACTGACAGCTGTGCAGCTTCACAAATAAGTTAGGATAGGCTTTATAAATGCTAAGAATCTTAAGTTTTAGTGAGACTTCTAAACACATTTCTTTTGGATTTCTTAATTTTCAGCACTGAGAATAACAGTGGTTTAATAAAGATATAATTAAAAATTGAATTGGTTTCAGCTGGAGAAATGTTTTAGAATATAAACGTAGTTGTGTTCTCAACATTCAGATTGCCTATGTAGCAAGAATTATGGAGCTTTTTGAGGCCTGCTTTCTAAACATGCCTAGTGCCATGGTAAGCCTCCTGACACAAAGTAGCATGCAGACTGCTCCTGGGAGGCAAGTAATTTGTGTGTAGTAGTTCACTGTACAGGTCAAGCATCTTTTTATTAGCCCAGTAAACCTTGAAAATCCAGGCATTGCACTGGCATTCTTAAAAAGGCATGAACAATATGGGGATCTCCAGTCACAAATGGTTTTCATATGAAATTCCTCCATGCAGTTGTTCTCAGAGTGGCTTCTTGTACCACTGTGCATATGTGTTCTTGGTAAGAATTCTTATGAGCGAGGTATTTAATGAGTTACATTGACTTGATCTAGACCAGGGGTCCCCACCCCTGGTCCACAACCCAGTGCCAGTCCATAGCGTTGGCAGGCTACAGAGACAGATCTCCTGCTCCCCATGCACTCCCCCCACACCCGAACAAATAGGTGCCCCACCCATGAGCAAGCGAACGAGCACCCTGCCCACCCATGAGCACGCCTCACCCATGTGCGCAAGCGTGCAAGCACACCCCGCCCACCAGCGAATGTGGGGGGTGCTCTGCCCCCCCCCTTGCGCATGGTCCGCGGTTCAGAAAAGGCTGGGGTACAGGTCAAGCATCTTTTTATTAGCCCATTAAACCCTGAAAAGCCAGGCATTGCACCATTTAATTCAGCTTATAAAAACAGTGTCAAACATTCTATTCTTGGCAGGTTTTTCCTCTTAGGAGAATGCTTAATAACATTCTGCAATATTATACTAACGTAGCCAGTCACCGCCACATACTTCCATAACCATTATCACACTATACAGCACATTGCAGTAATTTTATACTATAAGCTTAATAAAGACACTGAGTGCCAGTACAGTGGATAGAGTGACAGACAAAAGCACAGGAGACATGAGTTCAAATCACTGCATGGCCATGGAACTTCACTGAAGTATGGCAAGTCCAGTCCAGAAATATCTCATGTATCTTGAAAATCCTATAAAGGTTGCTATAAGTCACATAAAAAAGAATAAAGGTATAATTTTGATACAGAATGTGGACACTATATCATAAACCAGTGTGGTTCTTAACCTTGGGTTACTCAGGAGTTTTGGACTGCAACTCCCAGAAGCCTTCACCACCAACTGTGCTGGCTGGGGTTTCTGGGAGTTGCAGTTCAAAAACATCCGAGTAACAAAGGTTAAGAACCACTGATCTAGACAACAGATGAAATTATGATCTAGTGTGACAAAAAGCTGGCCTAGCCTTCCTTGCTGTGTGCCCACCTGCTTCTCCCACAACTCTCTTTCCCTGATAGGAGGAGTTCAAAAGCATCCACTTTGCCGCACCATTTAAATTCAGCAAACTGTGGTTGATGTTAGTAGCAGTGGTTAATTTAAATAAGCCAATTTGGGTATCCATTTTGAAGCTGGCTTCTTTGGAACTACTCATCATTCTGATTAATCACAAGCCTGGGGCGTATTGCTGCTTGTTTTAGTCACAGTGGAATGAAAACCAGGAACTGCAACATTCAATAGAACTTAATTCAAAAGAGAAATGAAGCCTCAGGGAAGGGAGAGGGAGAGAGAGAGAGAACATCATGGGACTTTATCTTCTTTGCATTTTGGTCAATATAAGGGATGGCACCTGCACAAAGCTGTGATCTTAACTACAGTATGGCTAATGTGCCCTTTGTCAATGCCACTTTTTCTTCAGATGTCTTTACTTACTCTTTTTAATATTCTTTACAAATCTAAAGCTTCTTCCAGTTTGCGACACCTGGGAGGATGCAGTTTGGGCTTATTTCAGGGTCATGGTGGACACCCTTGTTGAACAGGAAATCCATTCCTCAGTGATGACCACAGAAGAGACAGAAGAACTCCCTAGAGAGTATTTAGAAACAAAGTGAGTTGTTAGTTATTTAATAAGCAGTCATTATGTAATGTTGAGATGATGCCTGTTAACTGCCTTGTCTCTTCTGTCTGCATTTTTGTCTACCTTTTGAAGCTGGACTTTGGAAAAGGTATTTGACGACCTTCAAGCAACAGACAAAAAGGTAAATTTGGGTCTGAACTGGGGGGGGGGAGAGACCTTAAAATATATTCGGCAGTAAATCTATAGGTCTGTGTAGAAGTACACTGCATTGACTTCATTGGGGCTTACAGTTGCTTAAGTCTTGGTCTTCACTTTCTGTAAACATTTACCTGTGCAATTAAATAGAAATGTTGAAGAGATATGATTAGAATTGCCCTTAACAGTAAAGTTTTAATCTGTCAAAAATGTTTAAATGTACAATACATCTTAACTCATAGAAATCTATAGATTATTTCCATTACTTAGTGTTGCTCTCTGTAGCAGCAAATTAATATTTTTACCTTTCTGTCTGTAGTGCACTGTATGCATTCCCTCTCACCCACCCACCCAATAATATTGTACTTTTACTTTCTCAAAGTTGAACATTTGGCTCTCTGGATTTTAGGACATTAATTCCCAGAATCCCCAGCCAGGCTTAAACAACAACCAGTAATTCTAGGTGAAGCCTCAGATATCTAGAGAGATCTAGAGCAATGGTTCCCAAACCTGAGTAACCTTGGGATTTTTGGACTGAAGCTCCCAGAAATCCTGGCCAGGACAGCTGGTGGTGAAGGCTTCTGGGAATTTCAGTCCAAGAACACCTGCATTGCCCAAGGTTGGAAAACACAGATCTAGAGATTCAGAAGTTAAGATTCACTGGTGTAGTCCTTAGATACCACAGTAAGTGGCAGCTTAGATAGGGTGATTGATGTTTATCTGAGCAGAATGGTGAGCCTGATGGAGATTGTTTGGCTGTGCTTACCTCTTTTTATTCAGAAATTCTTGTGATTTTTTCTGCATCCTGGGGAAAAGGAGAGGGGGAGGGATTAAAGGGAGCACAAATGTTTATGGTTCTGCTAAAATGCTCTCTCTTTAATACTTGTACACATACTCTTCCTCTCTAAGTCCTGGGAAAAAGAGACACTCCGGTTTCTTTTAATACTCTTCCACATGTGGTTTAAAAGAGACTCAATGTGCTTATTTACTGCACAGCAATATTGACAGGATAGCTCTGGTGTAACATAATCTTTTTCAGAGATAAATTGTGTGCCTTCAATGTAACTAATATTGTATGATATGTCTTCTCAAACATATTAACTGTTTTTCAGAGAGTTTTGGAAGAGAACCAAGAACATTATCATGTGATCCAAAAATTTGTTATCTTGGGAGATGTGGATGGTAAATTAACTTTTTAGTACTTTTTCATGCTTTAATTTAATTGCATTTCTGTATCATTTTTGTGATACTTGGATTTGTGATAGCTTTCTGTCTTCAGCAGAAGATCACTCTAAGAGAATTTTAAGGAAAATTACTTGCTTATACTCTTTAGAAGAATTGTATTTGGTCAAAAAGTTATTCTGTTATTACCAAAGAACAGGTGTTCAGCAGATGTCTAGGAGGAGCATGGGACTGTCTATGTGTTTCTGGATCAGCATAGGATTTGGTATGTTGCTGTATCTGCCAAGGTTTTAGTCAAGTTGTCATTTAGTCATGTCTGCCTCTTCGTGACCCCATAGCACGCCAGGCCCTCCTGTCTTCCACTGCCTCCTGGAGTTGGGTCAAATTCATATTGGTAGCTTCAATTACACTGTCCAACCATTTCATCCTCTATCGTCCCCTTCTCCTCTTGCCTTCATGTTTTCCCAACATCAGGGTCTTTTCCAGGGAGTCTTCTCTTCTCATCAGATGGCCAAAGTATTGAAGCCTCAGCTTCTGGATCTGTCCTTCCAGTGAAAACTCAGGGTTGATTTCCTTCAAAATGGATAGGTTCGTTCTTCTTGCATTCCGGGGTACTCTCTAGAACTAGTCTCCTCCAGCAGCACAATTCAAAAGCATCAATTCTTCGGCGGTCAGCCTTCCTTATGGTCCAGCTCTCACTTCCATACATCACTACTGGAAAAACTACAGCTTTGACTATGTGGACCTTTGTTGGCAAGGTGATGTCTCTGCTTTTTAAGATGTTGTCTAGGTTTGTCCTCACCTTCCTCCCAAGAAGCAGGCATCTTTTAATTTTGTAGCTGCCGTCACCATCTGCAGTGATTATGGAGCCCAAGAAAGTAAAATCTGTCGCTGTCTCCATATCTTCCCGTTCTATTTGCCAGGAGTTGACGGGGCCAGTGGCTATGATCTTAGTTTTTTTGATGTTGAGCTTCAGACCATTTTTGGTGCTCTCCTCTTTCACCCTCATTAAGAGGTTCTTTAATTCCTCCTCACTTTCTGCCATCAGAGTTGTATCGTCTACATATCTGAGGTCGTTGATATTTCTTCCGGCAATCTTAATTCCGGTTTGGGATTCATCCAGTCCTGACTTTCACATGATGTATTCTGCATATAAGTTAAATAAGCAGGGGGACAATAGGGCACTGCCCTTCTTTGGGATTGGGATGTAGACTGATCTTTTCCAATCCTCTGGCCACTGCTGAGTTTTCCAAACTTGCTGGCATATTGAGTGTAGCACCTTAACAGTGTCATCTTTTTAAGATTTTAAATAGTTCAACTGGAATCCTATCACCTCCACTGGCCTTGTTGTTAGCCATGCTTTCTAAGGCCCACTTGACTTCACTCCCCACGATGTCTGGCTCAAGTTCAGCAATCACACTATCTGGGTTGTCCGGGAGATGCAGATCTTTCTGATATAATTCCTCTGTGTATTCTTGCCATCTCTTCTTGATGTCTTCTGCTTCTGTAAGGTCCCTACCATTTTTGTCCTTTATCATATCCATCTTTGCACAAAATGTTCCTTTAATAGTTCCAATTTTCTTGATCAGATCTCTGGTGTTTCCCTTTCCATTGTTTTCCTCTATATCTTTGCACTGTTCATTTAAGAAGGCTGTCTTGTCTCTCTTTGTTATTCTTTGGAAGTCAGCATTCAATTTTCTG